TGAAAATATCTTTTGAAAGATTAGAGGGCTCTCAAATTTTTTGGGAGAAGAAAAAAAAACTATTTTTTTTATTTTTTAAGTCTGTAACACATTTGTCTACAGATATTAGTTGGCTAATTTTCCCTTTAAAAGATATAATGGACGATATTGATAAAGAATATGAGCAGATTGAACACAATTAATATATTTATAAATCATTAATTAATTAAACTTTTTTAAATTCTTTAACAAAACCTACACATGTTTTATCTTATGATAAATTAAAAAACATTTGAAATAAGTATTGCCACCCACACATGGGGCGATCGTTCCCAGAGAGCGATCGCATCCATAAAGCAACCGTGCTTATAGAGCACTCGCGCTCAGATAACGACCGTGTTTAGGAATATTTTTTTGTTCCACTTTAATTTAATATTCTATAAAATTTTTTATTTGAAAGCATCGTTATACTTTTTTAAAATTTTTTTTAGTGTAAGGCTTTGGGGTGTACATTTGGGAAGTGGCCGTTTAGAAGTAACCCTCATGAATGCTGTTGGCGTGGCCATCTATCCCACATGCTCTTAATACGTATTTAAAAGTTATGTAAGAAAAAGAAGATCAATCATGTTTAGCTCGAGGTAATCTTCTAAGTTTTGTTCTCTTGTTAAAGCAATTAATGCTATTCATATTTCTCATATAATTTTCTCTATTATATTTTTGAGTTACAAAAAGGATCAATAATCTTACTAAAATCAACTTTGGACGTATATGTGACTGAAATAATTTCGTAAGCCATTGGTCTGAAACTTATGTGGTTTGTAGCGCAGGCTTATATTTGCTTTTTCTTAAAGAATAATTTTTACATATAAATTAAAATATGATTAATAAAAATTATAGTTAACTAGAAGAAAAAATATTTCATTAGTGAAATCCCAATTTTTAAAAAAAAATTATTATATTTTATGTTATGGATAACCATAACATGTTTTTTTGTATTACTTGGTGACGTTAGAAACTATGTTACAAATATAAAACAGAATTACATGAATCTTGAAAAATAATTGGTTCGTGTCTTTTTAGATTTATTTAAAACAAAAGCTATTATTTGATTGAAAATTATCTAAAAAATGAAATAAATAAACAATTTAATAAAACGTCTTTCAAGTTTGGTCGACTACTACCTAAAGAATAATTCACCGCCACAGCTAGCTATTTGCGGCATCTTATATTTTAATTTTCAAAATTTGAATAAGATAGGAATTGAGATGCTGTGGTCTCATCAAAATGTTCTTTATTTATTTTTATTTTAAAATATTTTACTTTAAAAAATAATAATTTTTTAGCCCTGGTAAATTTATAAAAGAAGGCAATCAAAAGAAAACTATTGTAAGAATTTTACAAAAAAACGTGTTTCAACAATAAATGTGTCATAGTAGTCGTACTACGACAATAAATTATAATTTATTGTTTTATAACTTTAAGTTACCCACAATCGCAAGAATTAAAAATAAATTTAAACAAAAAATTTGCAATGAAAGAAGAAGAAAAAAGAAAATGGAGAATAGAAAATTAAACCAACATTTTGTTAGACAGTCTAAAGCAGAGGTAAAACGCGGAACGCATAAAAGGAAAATCAATAAGTATAATTTCGTTGAAACTAAAAGTATTGTTGAACTGTATTTGAATTAAGGTTGATACTCCCTTGAGCAGGACAAAAAGTATTTTAGAATTCTATTTTAAGTTTGAAACCCTGCCTAAGGGCTACGACAGATGCAATTTAAATTTTAATTAAAAAGTTATTTTAAGAACATAAAACTTGTAATTTAAAATTGAATAAAAGTATGTTTTTTAAATGAAAGAATTTGAATTACACGGTGCTATAATTATTTGAAATATATAGAGGATTGTGCATATCAAATCTATATTAGATTAATTTTATGAACAATACAGGGATTAAGAACGTAAACAGGTAATGAAAAGAAAATAAATAAACGAATTTATTTTTTTTACTAGTCTTATTGATACTATCTCTTCAATACCATTCCTTTCAACTGTAATACGATTATGTGGTAAATATTCAACTTCTTTTCTTGGTGTAGCGTAAAAAGATTCTAATTTTTACTTTTTTGTTTTAACATTGATGTCAAAATCTTTTTTTATTAAAACACTATCACTTATATTTATGTTATTAATAGAATTATGCACACATTTTCTGTCCATGCGTGCTAAATATTTTAAATCTGCAGAAGTTGTATTAATAGCCTTATTATTATCCTCTTCAATATTTTTAACTTGTATATCAATACGATCCTCATTCAAATCAACAATTTTACTATCTATAGGACACGTTACAGTATTGAACCCGCTTCTACGAAAAAATAGATTGAATGGGACTTATTAGTTGCGGAATGTATTGCTACATTGTACTCATAAACCACCTTATCTAGAATTGCCAGCGAATTTTTACCGGAAGCTAACACACAATCACACGAAACATTTTGCAAATAACGTTTGAACGTTTGATTAAATCGTTCAATTTGACCCTAGCTTTGCTGGTATCTCGTCCTTCCATAAATTAAAAAAATTTTTTTTTTCTTACAAAAATCAAACAAAAATTTCTAAATTCTTTTCCGTTATCACATTGAATTATTTGAGGATCACCAAGTTTATAAAAAGCCATTTTAAGACATGGAAGAATCTCAGCAACAGTCTTACTTTTGAGGGCATAAGTAATTGTATGTTTAGAAAATACATTTATACCTATAAGTATCCACCAAAACCATCATTTTGTTCTGCGTAAGTCCTCATATCAACAAGATCAATCTCTCTCAAAGGCTTCTTAGCCAGAATATGCTTAAACTTTTCCTTCGTCTTGAGGGGTTGGATTTGTAACCAGATATTACACTAATTACAAACCTCCCTAACAACACATCCAGGAATTGAAAGACTAGTTGTTTGCATAACTCGTAAAGACGACTCTAACCATGGTGATTTTGATTGGGCATTTTTTGTACTTCTATTTTCATAAAAAGCACTGTTCCTTCCACAAACACTCGTTTATGACCATTTTCTGTATCTTTCAGATAAAGTAAATTATCAGATTAGGTTTCTTTTGTGATCCGGTTTTACAAGTTCCCTCTGTGACCCGTAATGAAAATAATTTAATAAAAAAAATAAAATAGCCTGTTCGGTTTCGCTCTCTAAACATAATTTTTATAAAAAATTGCTTCGCTGTTGATCAGAAAATCCTTTCATACTTGTAATTTTATAATTTAAGTCGATTATTATAAGATTCTACGTTCTGAGTATGTGTACCGTCTACGGGGGATACAAAATTATACTTATGGCATACGATTTTATGCTCAAAATCAGAACTACTAGAAAGAGCAAGATATCCTTCCCATTCGCCAAAAAAACAATCTTCCTGTAACGACTAATTCTGAAATAATTCTCAATAGACTATTTAACATCCTGTCACCAACCAAATTAAAGTATTCCAAGGCCGACTTGTAGGATGTATTTACAATACAAAATGCCCAACTTGGCGGAACATGACGTCCTCTATGGTATTACACATTATAATTCATTTTTGTTTCGTCAACCTGGACTTTGATGCCTGAGCCCCTGAGCCGTACAGCATTATTAACAAAATACTTTTTGATTCCATTTTTTTTATTTCTTATATTTATTCAAGACTTTTTTTTTTATTTCAGTAAGCTGTAAGATTTTAAATGATTGTAAGTCCACAGATATATAATAAATTGCTTCTAAAATAAGTTGAAATTCGATTTTAAAATTAGCAAACATAGAACTGTCTCTAATATTTGCAAACGTTTGATACTTTGTACAGTAGAAATTCGTACATCTCCACTCAAATTTATCTGTTCGCCCGTTACTTGCTTTAAATTTCATATCAACATCACAAAAAGTGCAGATCTCTACATCGTGTATCAATTGCCCTTAAAAAGCACAAATTTTCACTTCAAATTTCCCAGCTCTTCAAATTTCTCTAAGAATTTCTTGTTGTTCATATTAGGGACATTTTTTTTCTTTAAACAAAAAAATAACATGTTTCTTTTGTGATCCATCAGTTCATAAAAGACACCTGATCCAAATTATGTATCAACATAAAAAGCTCGGGATTTTCAAACGTTACTTGGTATGTTTACTCCCATATACTGTTATATTCTCGTTTTAAAGGATATTTCTATGTAATTATTTTCATTTTGCGATTTGATAGTAAATCTCGATATAAATTATTTTAAATATTTTAAAAGTTGTTAATATGTATAAACTTGTATAAGATAAAAAGCGGATGAGTCAGCAACAACAGTCCGATTTTATTAAAAAATACTTTGACATTTTTGCTTGTTCAATTTTCACAGGGGCGTTTTCAGAGTTAACTTGAGCCTCCAGCCAAATTCTTTGAGAAAATGTATCTTGCGTTCGTAAAAGCTAATAGCTCGTAATCCTATGAATATATATATATATATATATATGTATGTATTTGTATTGATTAATTTGTTGTGTAGTATATTGCAAATCATACATAATACAGAAAACTACCTTTTATATACATATAACACACTCCAACTAAGGTGATACAACTTGAATAATAAAATATTAAATAAAAATTTGATCATCACGACAAAAGAAAATTTAAGTTAAAAAAAAAGAAAAAATCATAGTTTGGCTCTAGGCGCTGTCGTAATCGGACGCGAAACAAAAAATTAACGATACAATAAACTTTAATGTCATGATACAGCCAGAACATGATCATCATCAAATGTTTGTTTAGACACTTTTTTGTTTACAAACAATTAATTAAAAAAAATTATTTTATGGTTTCTCTTTCTTTTTATCTAAATTTAATGTTTTTAATTTATTTATTTAATTTATTTTTTAATATATTGT